ATCTTTCCCCACGTCCAAGTTCCCCAAACGGGCATAGAGTCAGGTCCGCTGTAACATCTCCGTTTTTAGCACCCAGTACTACCACCTCACTCGACAATATGAGCAATCAAACTTTACTCAATCTGCTACAGCGCAGGGAGGAGCAGAATAGAAAATTGATTGAAAATTGGCGTGTCGAGCGTGCCCATCTTGAGGCTAGTCGTACTCGAGCTGAGGAGATGTATCAAGAAGAACGGGCGATAATTGACCAGGAACGAATGATATGGATTGAGGAGAAGAGTAACCTCCAGCGAGATCTGTCTGAATGGAAAAAGAGGACAGAAGTAGCCGAAAAGCAGAGGGACGAGATGGCTAGCCTGCTTAGGAGCATGCAGGTCCAAAGCAGTCAATCAAAGATATCGTTTGATGGTGCTGCTGAGACTGCTATGGGCTCTCTTAGAGGCGGTGGTCTTAGCAGTGCTGAGACACATTCGCAGTCAAGTGTCAATTTTTGGAGCCCATCAGACGGCACGTCTCCCAAAAGAGTTTTGCCTGGTGAGGTTCACGTCAACGAGTTTCACGGATCGATGACGATGCCAGAGTCGAGACCTTTTATTCCCTTGGACCCACGTATGCAGGGCTCGTCGCCAGTGGTGAGTTCGCCAGTGTCACAGCAAGATCGTGTTCCCTCCATCGATATTCAGGAGGTCATTCCGGGATTAGAAGGAATTCGAGTCAGGCCGGATATCGTCCAGAAGGCGACATTCACTGATGATAAGCCGTCTGAATCATGTCCCGAATCAATCTTACCCCCAGTCCCTGGGGCCAAGCAGGAACCAATTCGTACACGTGTTGTGCCAGCTGATTTGACAAAAGAGGCGCTCCAGGCTCCTGAGTCCGATAGACTTACAATGCATGCCGGGCACACACCGAACCACTCTATCTCCTTATCCAGGCTCCATACCGTTGAATCTACTGAGGTAGTAAACACAGCTGGCAGTTCTGGTTCATCAACCCCCAAGTGTTGCGCTGCGAAGGATAAGCAGGTTCAAGTGCCTGAGAAAGTCACGGACTGTCAGACGTCATGTTGCGGTTTTGGATGCCCTAAAGCCGCCGAGGCCGAGGACGAACTCGAAGACGATGAAAGAGACAAAGATCCGGAACTAAAGGGGCCATTAACACTTCGCAACCTTCCAGCGGCCGACGAACCATTTCTCAAGGCTCTCAATGACAAACTTGCTGATGTTATCACTCACGATATGACTCCTACTGTCCTTAAGCATGGGGATTACTTGGAGCCAGCTGCATCTGAGCCAATTATCGGAGCCAGTGATGATGGTGCGCACGAGGCTCACGAGGAATTAGAAGTGCAGGAGCCGGAGATCCCGCTAAAGTTAAAGCAATCGAGTAACTTTGGCGCACCTCTCGGGCAGCTTCGAAAGCCGGTATTGTAGTCGATGCGCTCCGGTAGTTATCGTTGCTAACGTGATGGACGATCTTGTCTGTAACTCACGTTCTCCGCACACAATACCTTCATCTTTGTCACTTTTAACTCGACGAAGTTTTTACACAGCTAGTGAAGGCTGTCTGTCTAGTTTTGAGCATGCCCATAACGAGCTCTATAAATTTCCTTTTTCTTATATGACATTTGAAATACCCCAATACCCATGATTCTTTTCTCCCTTTTCACTTCTGCGCATGGGAACTTACGGGTCGGCTTATGTTATGGTTGAAAGGCGACGAAATTGGCATTGAAAAGGTTGCATGAAGGGACGGGATCATCCCTGAATTCTATGGATCAGCGTTTTATTTATTTATTTGCGTGTTGGTGGGGTTTCTCTGCTTCAGGAAGCATATAGAAATATGGTGACGGGTCGGGTTTGATTGGCATTTGGGCTGAGAAGAAAAAATCGTGGCAGACTGGATGTTGCACGTCGCACGTCGCACATTGCACCTTAGACCTTTTATACCTTGGGCGGGGACGCCCTTGTCTTCTGCGAGAGAGGCGAAGAGGAATGATGAAGAAAATAAGTACTTTAATGAAATAGGTCTGTTAGCGAGCAGAGAGAGAGACAAGATTATACGTTTTAGGACCGGGCAACTGGTTTACTGAGTTTAATACAAATGTTAGCATTTTCTGGTGTATCAACCATTATCTTCACCTCGTGCTTTGAAAATGCTAAAGACGATGTTCGTATTGTGCTTCCAGGCTAAAGCTGAATTATAGCCCGTCTTGGTCCGTCTGTTGTAGGTACCGCCAAATGCCGGCCCGCGATGTGTAGTACAATTTAGAGGGGCTCTACACGATCGGTATCGTACATATAAGATTAGGTAGCTTCACGCAAGATACCTCGAATGACCGCTCGACAACTTTATTTCCGGCCGACGGTAATGATGCATTAGAATCCTATGCGAATTACGTGTTGATGTATGTAGGCAGGTATGCAAAACTAGCCGTCTATCATGATGAGCATTAATATCTTCATATTTTTTTGCTTTGCTTCCCTGCTTTGGAGTGCGCCCCGAAATCCCGAATCGTTTGCCACACCGTCAAACGCCAAACATGCCTCCCCCGCCCGGTAACAAATCTCATGTTTCATCGTAACGTTTTCTCTTGTAATCTCATGCTCCCCTCCTTTTGTACCGTACATCGGGAGTGCTAGGTATTACCGTCATTACAATTGTACTTGAATGTACGTAGTTATAGGTACCTAGATACCCAAGACAAAAATATGTATGTAGCTCAGCTCAGCTCAGCTTCTTGCCCATGAACCCGGCCAGCTCGTCAAGTAGTTCGACGGTCTCGGCGGGACTCGCGATCCAGGCGGTGGTGGAGACGCTGCGGGCCTTGAAGTCATTGCTGCCGGCGCTGAGGAACTGATCGCCGACGTGCAGCGTCTGCTCGGGGCGGATGCGCGTGCGGGCGTCGTCGCCCCCGAACCACTGCTGGCACACGGATACACCCCAACTCTTATCGCCGATGTCGACGAAGACGTCCCGCCCGCCGTTGAAGGCGCAGAACGGCACTACTTTGTTGTCGAACTCGCGCCCGCCTACGCTGAGCTCTAGGATCTTTTGGACTACCAGCACGGTTTCCTCGAGGGATTCACGTGGGATGCGCACCGTGGGCGAGCTGGGGATTATGCCGACGGCGCGGTCTTTGCGCATTAGCGTTGCGGGCAGGTTCAGGTTCTTGATGCTGTCGCGCAGCGCGGCCTCGGCTACGTCGAGCAGGGCTGTGATGCTCGCGTCGGACCAGGATGCCATTTCTGCTGTTAGCCAGCGCTCCCGGGGCACGGGAGATAGCAGATGAGGAGATGTGGGGCTGAATTCAAAGAGGTAGTTTGCCTCGCCGCCCATGATGACGATGTTTTGCCTCTGCTGGGGCGTTAGGATTGTGGAACTGGCAATGGCATCTAAGAGCCCGTGCAGACGGGCATAGTACTGCTCGGCCACGGTATAGCCCGCAGCCGTGACGATGCCGATCTTGACGTTCTTACGCATAAGGTCGATCATGCGCGGGATCACGGGGCTGGTGGGCTCCAGGCTTTCGCCATCATCATACAACGTGACGTCTCCGTCGAAGGTGGCGAGCTGAAGAGTGCCATGGGTAGTCACGGCCATGAGCTGGGCCGTGTTGAGGACGAGGCGCACATCGTTGAAGGAGGGGGAGACGAAGCGGCGAGACGAAATATATCGCTTGCGGTCCTGGAACTTGAAAGCGGCCTCGAGGGGCAGCCGGGTGAAAAAGTTGCCTATGGTCGGGACGAGGAGCTTGAGCTTAGACGGGACCCTGCTCGCGTCTAATTGGTGCGTTACTGGACATACACGTCAATCACTGGGCTGGAGTTTGGTTCCGGGGGCGGGGAAGGCGAGCGTGAGTGGACGTACTGTGATCATCAATCATCACCTCGACGTCCCTCATGATTTCGGCATAACGCCTATGCGCCTCTCCGGACATTTGTGCCACGCTGAATCCATTGGCTTCAAAAACGCCCGTGGGCTGGGAGTATAATACGAAGGGAACCGCTAATAGCCCCTTGATCCATTCTAAACATATGCAAGTTAGCTAGCTATCGTGAAGTAAACAAGATGCCGGTTGGAAATTTGTTTGGAGATTTTGTGAAAGTCCATCATCGTTGACATGCTGGTCTTGGGGATATCCGATAGTTATACGGAAACCCACTTCCAACAATGATCGTAAAGTAGTGAAGAATATGTCAGAACTACAACGTTGGGGTTATAATACCTATAAACTGGTCTCGTCTGTGCGTCTTCAATGCATCTATATATAAAGGCACCCGTGTTAGTTGCTGATCAGATGCTTATGACGGAGGAGATAGTCTGTGTGAAACTTGGAACTCACACTCGACCCTGTATCTCGAAGTCATTATGCCTAAATGTACAATTGATTTATGTTATGGAGGCAGTTGAATAATTATCAGCAAAGGTGGCTAAAAGAACAGCGACGGGAATGAATATGGAAAGGGATGAAGTGAATGGAATAAAACGGTGTAAGTAAAGGGGTACGTTAGGTATCTACGTATTCATTGATCACGAGGTCCGATTGACTGGAGTGCCGGCATGCGTTTGTGGGGCGCCGATGCAGCGGGACGTCTGGACGTCCAACCCGCTGGGGAGAGGCTGGCTGGGCTGGCTGGGCTGCTGGGCTGGAAGGGCTAGTAAGCCACAGTGACACAAGCGCTAGGAGCTCATCCGTCATAGCGTCATTTTTGTGGCCGATTAGCGCATGAAGTCTGGGCTATTTGAGGCTGGTATTTAAGGGTATCGACTGTTCCAAGCTTTAAAAGTTTCTACAACATCGTCAGAAATAAGTCGAATTGGTATGTTGATAACATTGGACTGTTGAGACACAAGATGACTATACAACTTTTAAAGAACGAGATGTGGAATTGATTGTCTCATTTCAACAAATTATCTCAGACAGACATAAAATATGTCCCATAAAACCTTCACATGTATATTCGAAGTCATCGAATATGTATGTCTTAAGGTAGGTACATGGTTTGAAAAGGAATTCCCTCTCTGGTTTGGACTAATCCGATTTTTCTTACAACTGCAACGCATTTTAACCTGTGCCTCTCTTACATCTTACCAACCATTTCCTATATCACTGTCTCACTGGTTTGGGGCGCCGGAGTCTGAGTAGCACAGGCAGCCGTGACTGTCCTCAACCGAGTCATGCATCCCTCGGGGCAAGCAGTCTGGCAGCCGTCAACAAAGAGAGCTGTCTTGATTCCAGCGCAGCCGCATGGGATGAGCAGCTCCTTCTGGAACGTGCAGCCTGGTACTGGGCACAGCATCGGATCGCAGTTGCTGGGTCGGGTCGTGTGTGTTACCGTCGGGCAAGCAGCGGGGGCAACCGTGGTGGTGGTCTGGCCAGGGAGTGTGGTGATGCTAATGATGAATGATGTTGTCGTTGAAGAGCTTAGGGAGCTGACCGTCGGGGTGGGCGGGTGTGCTGGGCGATGAGTTTCAGGAACCTCAACGTTGGGGTTGACAATAGCCTCCGCCGGGGCAGCGCTAACAATACCGACGACACTATACTCTCGTTAGTATGATGAAGCTCAGGATCAAGTGTCGATGGAAAACTGGTTGGTGTCTTACCTGGCTAGCGCAGCGACAAGACCGATGAGTACCTTCATTTTCGAGTAGTCTTTTTTTATTACTATTTCCCCTATCAGTCAACGTTGTTGAGTTTGTTATGATATAAGATATCACTGACAATATTCGATGCAGTTGTACTGAATCTTATTGTTGACCTTCGTTGATGGAAAATAAACTGACGATAGATAGACTTATATGATCAACTAAGTCGCGGACAAGCTGTCTCTTATATACGCGCATCTTTGACGTATCGCTATACACCATCACATTCGATTTTAAATAGCATTAGACCTGCATGACTCGGGACCTCACGACTGTCACCCGTTCAAGCAGTCACTCCGGGTGAGATGCCATTTTTCGCATTCTTTCCATCCTTCCGGAACGTGTCGTATTCTCTTACTGCGCTAGTGGCTGCAGACGACAAGACGACGGTTTCCGAGGTGCAGCGTCGGGCATCGGTTTCACGGTACGGTTATATTACAGAGTAACTCAGGTCTTCACGTTGTGAAGGTGCCGAGTTATTTTTGGCATAACCTTACTTTATATTAAAGCCCAGGTCCAGAGCCTTACCCATTTTACAACGTACTCGAGGGCTATCGGGAGTACTAATCGCACCGCGCGCACCGGGAGAGTGATACAAGTTCGAAGAGTCAAGTATCAGAACGTCGATACTAAATAGAGCTACGCTCAAAACTTGATTCTACAAAGAAAACACGAGACTCATAGAATTCAAAACTACCTATGTAACTTCGGTGGTATGATACTCTTGTCCGCCAGTTCATCGTGTCATAAGCACCCCTCTGCGTATCGCGGGAAGACCGAAGAAAACCGGACATGTTGATATCAAACCCTCCACGAGCAATGCGAAAATCGAGAGAAAAACCACCTTCCTCTTCAAGTCTCTTCCGAGGGGCGTATTTCGATCAATGACTGCTGGGTATAGTTGGAATTCTCGATTAGCGGCCAAACGACGGCATTTAGTTCCCCTGAAATTACAGGTTCTAGGCTTGGGATTCTTAGGAGACGCATATTAGCATGAACGAAGTGCGGTACGATGCCGTCAGCGAACCCGACAACACAAAGACATTCTAATCTGCGATTTGAATGGTCTAGCCAGGTTATTTGCCTTATGATTGGCAGCAGTCATCCAAGCCGGTCTTCGTTAGCCCCACAGAAACAGACGAGGCCATTCAGCCTCTTTAGCCTGGATTACGGGACAATATCCGATGGCAGAGATTTCATATAACTTCATCTTGCAGGCCCAAAAATCGCCCATTCGGGCTACGTACTCGACATGTCAATATATCTTTGATAAAGACGAGGTCCTCGTAATGAGATCCCGCATGATCCGTCTCGCGAAGGCTGCGAGATAGTGACACGGCCAAGGCCGCTTCTTGACATTAGTGCTGCATGCCATGAGCACGATCTAGCCCGCAGCTTACGCGGACCCAGCGAGCTCCCCATGGAGATTAAGAAGTCGGATGATTTTCGTCTGATTACTCGGGCGTTTGATCCAAGACCTTGGGCTGTCTCGCCCAGTGGGTGCGGGTTTTGCCTTTTTACTGACGATCTTTTTGTCTAGGCCACTTATCTAAGAGAACCGGTCTACTGGTCTCACAGATCTTTGAGGACGATCACCTCGCTGCTCGTCAAAGGTACGGCGCAGCTTTCCTAGGTGCCCCTAACTCGTCCCAATTGCGAGCAGGATGACTGCTTAAGATGTCCCTGAGGATTTTGAGTGAACACATGGTCGGTATTCCGGCGATAAGAAGTTGTCTCGGCCTCTTCGATAAATAGCCGGCCCCTGCTAGTTTCCCATCGCCGAACTCTGCGAATACCAAAATCAGACTGCTTTGACCTTTGACGAAAAACTGCATATTCAACGTTCACTGAACTTATTTGCATTCTAATTAGCCCCCCTCCGGGCCTGGTCGTCGGATCTATTCGAATCACGCGGCGATTTACATCAGGTAACTTGATTTGCATGCATATTCTTCACGCTTCATAGCCTAAGTATTACTGGTCTTCCATTAGATGGACGGACTATAATCAAGGTCAAGGGTATGTTACTTCATACGCCTCAACTCATGGCATTCTCGACGATATTTATTTCTCTAAACCGATTCTGGCATGCTTCGAGAAGAAAGTCCTTGAGGCCCTCTTAGTCAAACTGGGCCTATCTGAGAATAACATCATCTACGAGGTATGAGCACCATAGAGGTAGGCGATTCAGAAAGAGTGAACTGGAGATAATTGTGCTATAGTTTAAGCCCAAGCGTCTTACTATTGGAACACTTTAGATACTAGTTACGACGTAGTCTGGTTTGAGTGCGTACGGGCTCAATACTCTTTAGTAACAGGTGATCAACCATGTATCGAACTCACTTAGTACCGAAAATTATTAGTCAAGAAATGCAATATAACAGGTAACGCAGTTCGATTGGGTTTCTGTATTAATAGCACGCATCAAAGTCGCAATGCTATATGGACCTAGTTAATTAACCTAGTACCTAAGGTGCCGCCATTATTATGAATTTGCTAGGTAATGCAACGCAGTCTCGCGTATATGCGAATATTATTTTCATTATAAAGCTCCTAAGCTAGGCGCTCGACTTCAAGTGATGCAAGAATATAGGCCGCGGATCCGAGCACGCTGTTGTAGTTGATGGGCTGTCCGATATAGTACTATAAAAACATTAGCTTCTCATGCTTCTCGTGCTATATTAAAACTATAGGTGGGATAGCACTAACCTCGTAAGTGGCCGTCGAGTTCAAACTGCACACCGCTACTGTCCCGTTATACCCAAGCGTGCCATTCGTCTCCCGAACTACAAACGTGTCTGTCAGGTACCCGTGGCCGCGAATAGCAGCAGCCACCGCCGTCGATGACAGCGTAGCGTTCGAAGCGAGGTATCCTAGTCGCGCGCCCTTGAGCAGCGCGTACGCGAACATGGCGCTGCCGCTCGACTCGATGTAGTTGCCCTCGCGCCCCGGCTCGTCGAGGAGCTGCCACCATCCGCCAGTTACTGGATCGACCGCACTCACAATCGCACCGGCAAGCGAGTTGAACTTGTCCAGTATGAGATCCCGATACTCGCGCGGGAACGCCGGTAGCACTTCCAGCGTGTCCACCAACGCCATCGCGTACCACCCCAGACTCCGGCCCCAGACGTGCGGGCTCGCACCCGTGTCGGGGTCCGCCCACACGGCCGTGCGCGAGGCGTCGTAGCCGTGGGCTAGGAGTCCCGTGGAGTCGTTACGGGTATGGTTCCAGAGCAAGTCCAGCTGGAGGTACGTGTCGTCCACTGCGGCAAGCGTCGCGTTCTTCCGCTCGGGACACAACGGGTCTGCGGCCTCGGCCGCCACGTGGTAGCTCACGTAGAAAGGCGCGAGCGAGTACATGCCGTCGAGATAGCTCCACTGGGGATACGTGAAGTACCAGAGCCCGCCCTCGGGGTTACGGCGGTTGTATGCGATGCTCTGGCGCAGGGCGGCGGCGGCGGCGCCGGCGGCGGCGCCGAAGGAGCTTCCTGGTCCGGCTGTCTGGTTGGTGGTTGTCGAGGCGGCCAGGGCCAAGAAGGCGTGTCCGTTGGAGAGCCGGTCCAGAGGGTAGGATAGGGCGTCGTGGGTGGCGTTTTGGACGAACGGGGATACGGATTCAGCGCTGGATAAGATGTACGCTTGTACGTCGGGGGTGAAGGGGTCGGCGGGGTATTGTGCTGCGAGCGCGGTGAGGGCGCGCTGGGTGATGCCGGCTTGGAGAAGCTCGGAGGAGCCGCCTTTGCCGGTCATGATGCCCTGGCTGCGGGACATGATGCTGGACGCCATCCACGTCGAGTTCTTGCTCTGAGCAGCTGCCTCTGCCTCTGCCTCTGCAACTTGTCCCGCTGCGGTGTTGATAGATAAGGCGAGGGCGAGGATCGCCGCGGCGAAGTGGGATTGCGTTGATACTCGCATCGTGATCTCCGTCCACACTTCTTTGTCCTAAGACTAACTTAGGTACCTAAACTATGTATTTCCTCCAAATCCACCAAGTACCGTATTCTCGTTCCTAAGCGACCGCGACACAGATCTCGGGAATGTACAACCGGGCCAAACGAATGTGTGTGTGTGTGGTGTGTGTGTATGACGGAAGTAGGTGAGAAGTAGAAAAGCGGTGGAGGAGGAGGAAAGACGTTTCGTCTCAACTCTTTGTACCTAATGTATAACTAAACTAGTAGAAAGGCGAATAACGGATGCAATTACCGGAAAAAAAGTTTTTGTTTGTCCCCTACCGGAACGGCGACCCGGTGCTTGGGAAATTAGCGAGCGGCGCAAGCAACACGTTTACATGCGGTAACGGCAGAACGGGTACCGAGTCCACGGATTTGAAGCTTTGCGGGATGCAAGGACGGCAAGGATCTGTACATACAATACATTAGACATCCCACCTTGATGCAAGCTGTGGTCAATGCTGTAGTTATTATTTGCTATCTACATCTTTCATATTTACATACCTACCTCCTAGGTACATGCTGGTAATTCCAACAAAGCAATAAAGATGAAGCAGCGTATATGAAAATATATCGAGCTCGCATACCAGGTACGTAGGTATTTCTAGGAAACTCTCGTCCGTATTTTCTAAAATCGCGTCTCTTAACTAAGAAATGATCTTCATTCGACCTACAGTAGGTACTCTGGGTATTATCATTTGCTGTGCCTCTTCTGTGTAAGCCCTAAGTATTCTTTGTTGTCCCCTACCTAGGTACAATACCTAACCTAATATAATGCCGAGTGGCCTGGTGGCTTTGAGTAGATTGCTGTGGGCTGAGACAAACGACGCCTTTTATTAGCTATCTAATATCCAGATAATTGAGTCTGCGAAGGTCCCCAAGGTAGGGTAGTATTTAGAAGCCTTCCATGCAGTCCAAGTATTATTACCCCTCACTATGTATAAGGTGGGTGGACAATCAGACGGGCTGACGAGTAAGACGGGTTGACATCATATCACAAATCGAGTGTTTGCAGAGAAGAGGTCGAAAGACGGGTCTTACATACAGGTATGTACATAGGAAGCCAATACATATTGGCCCTAATAACTCCAAAACCAAGGGAAGCAAAAGAGCCAACCCATCACCATTTATCTTGTGTTAGTTAGTTATATATAGAGAGCTCTATATATATAACACGGGATAGGAATTTGCTTTAGTTTCGCCGAGCTTAAGCGATGCAGTGATTCCACATTGTTTCCTTGTCCTACTCTATCATTTCATCACAGCTACGTCCTCTCTAAGCTAAATAGTCGACCGACTACACGCCCGGCTACAGAGGATATCCGTAAACAATACTACCGTGGCTGAACTAAGAGGGATTATATACCTACCTACCTTGCTCCAGGCCGCGTCTTTTAACAGACTCTCTCCAATTTGCTCAGCAGGAAAATGCAATAGGTACTCAAAGCAGAGACAAATGCCACCTTGGCGCACACTAAACACTAAATAGACGAGGTGCAGAAGACAGCGTTGCACTGCGCATTCAGCTCCCGCCTGCCTGCCTCCTTCTCTCGCACCCAGTGCCAACACACGGCACACTCGGTTCCGCTGCCGCTAGCAGCCGGCCTGTGCCGATCGTGTCGATGATAGGTAGCTGACATGGGGCTTCGGTCACGAAGCTGACAAGGCTGTATGTATGTTTCGCCCGCAACACGGGCTATCGTGTGTGTGTCTCGTGAGACAGTTGCCTGTGTTCTACCTACCTACCTGAGGTATGGTTACGCTCTGGAGTACTGGCGTTTCCCCTGGGGGTTAAGTATTTAGAAATACCAATGGGTTCAGTATTAGGTACCTAGGTAGCCAGCTGCCAATTACACTCCTCTTCCCGTCCATGTCTTCTCAGCTTCTTCGCCTTGACCTTCCGGCCATATAACAAGCTGCACGTTGCCCATCTCCTGAGTGCCGCGCTTGATACGTTCCCCCCCACGTATTCTATTCTAGACTTGTTCTCATGGCGCGGATACCGTTCTGTGCCGTCCAAGTACCCGGAGCTTAGGTCGCTAGTTTACAGAGCCGCCATCTTTAACCCGGCAGTTATGGGGCATCGGGACGACCTGATCGCGGCTATGGTTGTCTTCTTAGTAGTCGACACCCTTGCCATAGCCGCCCGTCTCTATGTTCGTACCAAGATGCTGACCCGTGGTTTCGGCTTAGACGATGTTGTTCTCATCCTGACATATGTAACTCCACCTACGATGCTTATCTTGGATGTCACATGTACGAGCTTCGTACTAATATCTTTTTGATCTCTAGATCGGCTTTATTATCTCCTGTGCTATGGGCTTTACGTCTATGCATTACGGCTACGCTGCTCGGGACGAACAGCCGTACTACAGCAAGGTCAAATACACCAAGGTAAATGAGATGTTTTACTCACCTCATCTGAAGCCGTATCCTTCCAATCCAATTACAAGCAGCTCAAGGACTAATATAATTATAATCTGCATTTAGTTCCTATTCGCCAACCAGCTGACACTCTACATTAGCGCCGGGCTCGTAAAAATAGCCGTGGCGCTCGTTCTCTATCGTCTATCGTCGACTAAGAAGCTACGCTGGCTCCTAATAGGATCGATGGCTGTCGTCACCGCCTGGACCATAGTCATGACATTGTTCGCGTCGTGGCCATGTGCCCAAGGTGGCGCGTCCAACTGGGCTGGCAGCAAGGCTTGTACGCAAGTCGGTTACTTCCGTACCATCACCAACATCTTTATCGACTACTTCTATGCGCTGCTGCCGATATACATACTTAGAAAGGTAAAGATGAGCACCAAGTTAAAAATATCAGTTCTGCTATTGTTGGGGCTAGGTGTATTGTATGTTACCCCTTTTCCTTCTCCGACCCTTATAAGCCAACGTGGTATACAACTGTCAACCGGGTAGGGTCGATCGCTAAATCTATGCTCACCATCCTTCTAATAGTGCGAGCTCCGCCACCATTGTCAAACTTGTTATCATAGTCAGGTTATCAACCGCAAAGGGCGAGGAAGCCCAAGGCCTACACTACGACTTACTTCTCTGGGCCGACATCGAACTCGGCATGGCTACATTCGCGGCGTCTGCGGCAGCTTTGCGGCCTCTACTCAAGCACATCCCAAGTATTTGGAGTAGAAGCCAGACGTCGAATAGCCGTAGCCGTAGCCGTACTACAAGCGAGGCGGTCGGACCCTACCGGGAGCTCGGCGCTACTAACGAGCTGCACCCGGTGAGGAAGCATGATGCTAAAATAGTAAATAGGGAAGACTCTGAAGGGGATGTATTTGTAGTTTGAAGGAGGGGATCTGGTACGGGGTACAGAAAACGATGCTTATGATACCCATGATTTTCCGATCCTATTAGATCTAAGATCGGTTTGTATATGATGAACATGTATTGCTACCACTTATCTATAGACGACTGTGATACGCATTTGTAGATATGTTCGCCCTTTAAACTAACCTCAAGAATATTTTATTAAAGGGAGGAATTTGAGTATCAATGGAATATTCCTAGGAATATGGTCAAATACCTAACCTAACGTTGATAAGTGTAGGTAGGTTAGGTACCTAGGTATGTATATTATACCATTACACCTCTCAAGCATTAATACGTATAGCCTCGGTAATCCATTGGGATAGTCATGAACATTATCATCCGTAACGATATCATGGGATATATACATGCTGAATGTCCTAGCATCAGAGCAAGCAGGAATCATAATGATGCCAACGACAAGACGCTACAGAATGACATCCATCCAATATTTCAATTCACTTAGTCATAAAAGCCCAAGATCTCTCCAACAACGCTCTTGAATATGCCCTTCGGATCGAACTTCTCACGTACGGCCTTGAATCTCTTTAGGTGGTCCGCATCTAGATTCTGCGTGGCGTTACCAAACACCTCGCGCGTGTTCTTTGTCCAATGGGGCCTAGCTGGGAATTCATCGATGAGCGTCTTGGCCAATCTAGGGTCTAAAATACTTCTAATCAGTCGTCGAAAGCCCCCTTTGAAGATGGATGATGGATGAGACGCGCACGATTAAAGGTAAGGTACTTACAGAAGGCTTCGTTGAAACGCTTTCCATCGCCGATGGTGGGCTTGAATGACGGGAAGTCGAACATGATAGCACCCTTAGTCCAGTCGGCCCCGTCGGATGTGTTGTACGTAACCTGGCCTAACAAGTCATAGTAAGGTCTAAACCATTAATTAGCAGGCAACTATAAAACTACCCGGTGGAATCTTAGGCACATACTTCCCGAATTTGATATTGATGCCACTGCGGTAAGTGCTCGTCATGATAATACCCTTCTTAGCCTCGTCGTCGAATGCTTGTCGTACGCGCTTGAGCATCTTGTTGGCCAGTGTGATAGGGAATGCTAACTCGAGGGTAGCGCCGTGCAGGCCATACTCCCACTCGGGTTTCTGATCCGGATAGAGGCCGCCAATTAAAACGTCGTAGTTCCAACCGTAGACGGGCCACTCCGTGATCGTCTCCTGGGTTGTCTTCTCGCGGAAGTTGGGAGCGGACCAAAGACCGAACGCGGTGGTCTCGAAGAACATGTTAGAGGTTGCTAGATACTTCCCGCTCTCTAAAGTGGTTTTCGCGATAAAAGCCTCGGTTTCTGTGATGGAGAAGGTATTCTGGAATCCTTCCTGGGTACTAAGAGTGAGTGGGACCTTGTCGTAGTATCGCCAATGGAACTTCCTCATGAACGGCCACCACTACAAAGCGTTAGAATAACATATCATGCGACGGGAAAGGGGTATATTTATATACCCAAAAATTGGCTGTAGCATAAGGAGCAATCAAACCGTAAATATCACCATTCAGTACATCATCTTCATCCAGACTGATTTTCTCATTAGGATAGAAACGAAAGTTGTGAGAGGAGGTATAAAAAGGTATAAGACTTACGTCTCTTGCTTCGCAAAGACTTTAAAGTCTGGGTAGATCTTGAACTTCATGCGAACGATGACACCCAATAGGCCCAAGGATGTCGATGCAGCAAGCCAGTCGTCGTTAGTTTCGTCACGCTCAACTGTCACGATATCTCCGTTCCCGTTGACGATATCTAGCGACAATACGCCGGCCGCAACCATTGAATCCTCTCGGACAGAAGACCGATGCCCGCCCATCGCAACCGCACCAGCCATGGTGATATTCCAATTAACTAGCGTATAGCCCATCGAAGCATTGTTGTTGTGGAGATATTCAGCCAGCTGGAGGAACGTCACACCGGCCTCTATCTCTACTGTTCCGGTCTCGGCACCCTCCTCGAGCACCAGATTTGAGATGTTGTTTACGTTTTCCGTCCGGATGATGATCGTGTCCGGGTTGTCTGAACACATAGTATCGTACCTTTGCAATATCCCAAGTCAGAAACAACTTGTTATGGATCCTCCTAGAAACATCGAACAGGCACAATGGATCCATGGGAAATAGAATAGGAATGAAATTGGATGGATTTGTTGGATAAAGCATGCCATCAAAGGTATATTGTAAATATGGACTCTAACTCACCACATGTGGCCCTTCCCTGACGCCCTTACAGGTGTTCCGTTGGCGGAAGCATTCTTCACTATCTGGACGATATCGTCGACGCTGGTGGCGTTGTGGACGAGGGCGACATCGTTGCAAGCGGGAAAGCCTTCGCCGTCAAATGTGTTATACGGGATAGCTGAGACGTTACCGGCGCCCGCAATGGCGATGATAGAGATGAGGACACGATTAAAAGTCGGCATCTTGGGTATACCCGCGCGATTACGCCCATATAATCCTTGGTAGCGGCGGGAACAGGCTTGAGCTTAATAACTAAGCGCTTAAATTCCTAGTAGCCGGGCTGAGAGACTACTCAACCAGAAAGGCTACCTGAGCAGGTAGCATCTCCGGAAACCCCGAGCTTTGTATTCATTAAGGGAAGCCCCAAAAGGAAGCCCATGACGTTCCTCACTCGACTCTGGTTTCCTTGTGATCAACGTAACTTCCCTTTCCCTCCAAGCCCAACCTCACCTCCAAGTTTCTCCATCCTCAACCTCGTGGGTGCCGGGGTTCCCTGGTCTAAAATTCTCAAAGTCCACATATCAGATCAAAGGAACAGCCTCGGATCACCTACGCGCGACAGGGCTACACCTATCTCCTTACTAGTGGCATGCCTCGGATGTGACGTGCATAACGGCAGTACTAGCAAAAGCGCCCGTGATACGATCGACACGGACGCCGCACCAGACACGGGGCACTTACCCAGCGCGGCGTCCGAGTGATGACATCTCGGCGAGATATCTAGCGACGACGCTAGGGGTTCGTTAGTCGGCGATGAGCGTGTTGGTCTGGTTGGGCGAACAGAAGAGTCCGAAAACCCCGAAACGGCTCCCTGGATTATAACAGACAGGGCCGTCCTGCAGCGATGTAACACCCCGCCAATTATGGCGAGCGGTTACATAACAGCAAATCGCAATCGCAGGGGGTGCCGTCTGGGGTAGCATTCGCATTTCGCCTTGTGTCGATCATCAACAGACGATGCATATAGATGTACGGGCGTGACAGAGCGCTAGCTGAGTGTGTTGTTGCACGAAGACACACACATATTATGCGGAAGGGCGTCCGGTGGGAGCACCTCGAAAACAGGACGAAAATGTATTATGGACAATGCGACGTTGAGCATGCGAAAGAGTGCAAACAGCTCATATCCGTTTCGTGGCGTTTGCTTGTGATATATACCCGTGGTTGTCATCAGGGTTGTCTCGGTAGATGGTAGAATGGCAGGAATGGCGAATACCTTTACTCGCAGCGGGTTCAGGTTGCGAAGATACGTCAATGATTGGGGAACCCGGCAATTAGTCTAATCTTAAAGAAGAAACCATAGCATCAGATTAAAAGATGAGGACTAACATAACGTCAATCCCTGAACGCCGTAATAAGGGGCTGCTCTGCTATATAGTAATAGATATAATGCAGGGAGCTGAGGTTGAGGATTGATCTGCTGAGCAAGGTAGACGGGTATCCATACAAAATACCGAGGACACCACCCCTAGTTATCGTTATATTGTCGGCGGCGGGTGGGATTAGTTAGACGTAGAGTTGATGGTCATCTTACCTCATGGGGCTGCCAATAATAGCTGCGACTTGTATTCTAGACTGTTCAGACCCCTGATAGAGACAATGCCGTAGTCTTGTGCGATCGAAAGGAGAAATGCTGAATGTAAAATCTTTTCATAGAATACGGGTATCGCTACGGACGCCATTTGCTGAGCCTATATTAATTCCCACCTTGCAAGCCAGCCGACATTCTGACCTGCATTCCTGACAATGCAGAGCCTCGCGGCAGTGTCCTTCTGATTCTTATATCGCCGCAGCTCCTCTAGAGCCTTCGTGGACGACAAGCTACCTATAGCGTCGCCTATTCCGTCCCTTAGATTAAAACTTCCGGTTGTTACAAACCCAATCAAATCATCTTCATTAGGGCACAGTGGATGGCCGTTGATACTCTCAGAGTTGGGAGCGGGCGGCGGGAATGTCGCTGGAGGGCCGATGAGTTGCTGAGCGAGCAGTTGCTGTCGCGTCTCTAAATCCAGATTTGGCCTGGTGATGTCTTTCTTAGGTCTGTTATTTCCAGATGGCTTTTGCGCCAACCATTGGTTACGTATGTTGGGCGGCAGTCTGCACTCAGCCTTAATATGAGGAGGGTCGGTAGCTGGTACTTCGGCCTGTGAAGAGACAGCCGTGGGCTTTACATCAGGTAGACGATAGATCCTGGCACATGTGGTGGGCACCCCACGCGCCAACATCTTAATGTTCGCCGTTACTAATGACTTTGGAGGAGGCGGCTCAGATGTTGATGACTGGTAAGTAAGAAATGCGGATTTGGAAAGTTGCGTGACACTTTCTAAGGGATTTACGAGCGCTGTTTGGTGCTCATCTTGAGAAGCTGCTTTTGGCTCTTCTGCTCCATCTTTTCCATCTACTACCATCTCGTCAGGGTCATTCACCTTGTCACCCACCCCCCTAAGACCGAGAAGTAATTCGTAGTCGCAATTCCACCCCACTCCAACCTCGCCTTTTCGCCCTGCTCCTAGGTCAAGTGATTCCCAGTTGACTCTCTTTCCTTTTGGCATGCGGTCCCATGCCTTGTGTCTCGCTTTTCGTTCTTCTAGTTCCCAAGCTTTACCTGCCTCTGTGCCAGGCAAGTCGCCAGGGAACCAAGGAAGGCCTCTCTCGAATGTAACATGTCTGATCTCGTCCAAACCTCCAAACCAAGGGTTGCCACCAGTCGATAAGGGGTAATGCATTAGACTGTACCATATCGGAAGAACACATTTATATGGTAGCATTAACGTCCAAGTACCGGATGATTGTGAACCTACGGAATGACGGGAAGCAAGTAATATTATAGGGATAGGAGGATCAACCAAGGTTGGTTCGAGTACGGTTCCTGATGCGCTATTGCCCCGTCGACGGTTTAGAGACCGCTGAGATGGAAGTCTCGATGCTTTGAATCGAGTATCCCTATCGAATAGCTGATGGGGCTTGGTAGCATCGTCTTTGCGGAATGCCGACATGGCTTCTAGAAGTGCCAATTGTGCGTTCTGGTCGTTCCCTGGAAGAACTACTTGTCGTGGAGGGTAGCGGAGACGAGGATCTACGATTGAGAAAGCTAGGAGAGACCCAAGGGGTAAAGCACCGGGATCTTTCAAACCGGCGAGCGACTCGAACTTTGAGGCATGCGATTCTTTCGAATCGGACTTTTGGAAGTATGGCCGAAGGACTCCGAGCAGAGCTTCAGTCGAGTCGGGGCCTATGATATCAATGCTTCCGATTTCAAATCTTAGGTCTTCTATATAAGGTCGGGGATTCTGCATTTTTGCGAGTCGTAGTAGCTCGTTAAAAGTCTCCAAGAATGCAGATGGGTGAAGACGAATGAAAAGCTGTCTAAATTGTTTACGTTGCTCTTCGCCTTCAACTTGCTTTTCCGGACTCCAGATTATAGTCGCTGGACCGATAACGCGTATGCCATCTGCGCTTTTCCTGCTTAATATTCCGGACCAGTGCATATTACCTGATCTCCAACGCCTTGCCTTGTCGCTCCACAGAGCTTCCTGTGTAAGACCCAACGACTTGAGAACATTCTGGACGCTATTCTGAGGTCCGGACAGGCCAATTGTGCTCATATAGCTCATGTCCCAAGCCATTGCACCCTTTTCCCATTGAATGCGGTGGGTTGGTCGGTAAACTTTTTGTGATGGGGTAAGGGGGAGGGCAAACCTCCACAGGGGTTGTGTAGGAGGTGTCATCCTCGCTCGCTTCGCGTGCCACAAGTGAGTAGGAAGCCAGGTTTTTGAGAGTTGGCGCTTTCTAAATTTCCTCGCGGCAATGAGGGGTTCGTTGAGAGCATTTCTTTTTATCTTGGGCCTAGCAGCCCTTATGGAGATGGTTTCATCGTCAGCGCCAGAACTCTTTAGTTTCCGTAGCTTCTTTCGCCTCGAGAGGAGATCTAGCTTCCGAGAAATCTCAGCTCGCAACCTCGCTCTAGTGGTATTTGGCTTTCTAGTCTTAGAGCTGACGGTTGGAGTATTGTCTTCTACCATTTCTCTCTTGGCCCTCTTCCGTAGTCGTCTCGGGACTTTCTTATAATTATGGGCTGCAGCCCTACGTCTCATTCTGAATGGCACACGCTGAAATGCTCGGCTGGTTTGAGACGTCCTTGTACGTCTCATACTCTCATCTAGAGCATTGATCTCGAAGGAAAGAGAGCCGACAAACGACTGAACGTTGAGCTCACCATCTTTCAAGGCAGCATGGGATTTCTGAGCGGCAATGCTTCTAACCTCATGGGTCTTTGCACGCTTTGCATCCCGAGTCCTATTATCAGAACCCTTCCCTTGATTCTTGAACCCTGCATCTTGCTGCGGAGGGTCTTTTCTTTTATTAGACTTTGACTGGTCTGAGTTTCTAGTAGTCTCAGGACCCGGCTTCGGCTTATTCATTGAAGCCGCTTTGCTACCCGAATCCCCGGGAGGCTTAGTCTTCGACGCCTGCTTCGGAGGCATCTTGAGTCAACTCGTAAGGGGGAGTGGTACATTTGATTCGATGGTACTTCAAGAGCCCGTGAATACGCTTCCAAAGTAGGATACGATATATAGGCCCGCTAGTTATGAAGCTAAGGTTGAGCCAACGAAAAAGGCTTAACAAAAACACACGTATTCAAAATCTTTCTTTCACCATCACTTCATTAGGTAGTGCATGATGATATGCACCAAGGATTGGATACCGCGTATTGCTAAACGCGTATTATGCTTCGCGTGAACATGTGGTGCATCAAATTTTTAGCACTACATTTTAGAAAGGTTCTTAGTGGGTCTGGTAGGTATCGGGCGCAGCTGGCGTTTTGTTTTAGCGTTTAAAATACGCGTATGTACGAGACAGCTGGGCTCTGCAGCTCTGCTAGATTTAAGGTTACAGTTAAGGAACGGTACGTCGTAGAGTACTTCGTACCTGCATTTTTACACCAATATTGTATTGTACTTGGTACTAGCAGATTGAGACTGCCATGGCTTTGGATCCTATTAACTTAGATACAAATAATGACGTCAACAAGTCTTAGCTACATAGTACTTCGTATTGTACAAAGTACCTCGCTCTTAACGTCCGAGCTGAATTGGACAAGGTCCCGGAACATTTCCCGTTTCCACAGTCAACATTGGAACGAATCAACAAGCATTGCTTTCATCCTTTTTCTAGCTTTCTCTGATCTCGACGTCGTCCTAATCTTTGTGGCTGATTCTAGCACCAAGAACTAGGGGTAACGTAACCCCCCCTAATCCGATCTAATTCAATTCCTTCCCTACCAGCTACCACGCTTACCTTATCTCGAATTCGCCTTGCCTCCTTCGTACAATACGATTCTCGTAGAAACCTAGCAGAAACCTGTTCGCTTTTCGGGATCCGGTACAGCCGAAACTACTGTGTACAGTTCTAGCCGCTATCTAATACCTAACCGGGCTACCAAAATCGGCTACCATTGATGTTTCGCTCCGAATCATGACTGCATGTTACCAGCACACCACCTACGCCGTTCGCATTTGATACTAGCTAGCATGTGCAGCATCTCCGCCGCTGGGGTGAATGCGGCTTTATTAAGACTATGGCGTCCTTAAGTATGTAAGCCTGTAAATCCCTAGCTGCCGCTGCCGCCGCCGCCGCCCTTCTTCCCCTTCACGCTTTGTCACACAGTTTCTTTGAGCCGCATTCCTGTATTCTCACTATTATTATCGGTTGCCTCTCATCCATCCAATAAGCGAAGATGTAACTCTGCCTACATTCGGCAACTTGTCATTGTTGTTATTAGCACATTTACGTCTTGCCCTTCATACTATTCATACCACTGCTATCCCTTGTCTTCCTTCCATTTTGCTTCGCTGGGAGAATTGTCATAATAATGTCTCTTACTTTGACTGCGACACCCATTGCTATGCGCCAAATACGTATTTTTCTCAAGCTAACATGCGTATTCTTCCAATAGTTAACAAGGCCCGGAAGGTATATAATACATATATTACTATTTATTTCACCCTAACTTATATTTCACTATGCTAATGCATATATCTGTCCCTCTTCTAGCCGAAATTCGAGCTTCACCTCACTATCTACGACTTAAATAATGTACCATTAGTTGCCGGCACTTCTACGATAAAATGGTACCTTCCGAACTCGATACACGGCGAGCATCGTGGCCGTACGGCCAAGTGCTCCATCGACAAGATCAATCATCGCGTTGTATATAATTATTCTAAGATCATACCCTTGCGCATCTCAATCGATCGCAATAATAACCTTACCGAATGCCCTATCGAATTCGAGGTTCTCCAGGAGTTTCCTATGGTCCCCGGCGGTCGCGACGAGAAGATTCCTCTCGGCATTGTCAAGTTGAACCTAAGCGAATATGTCGAAGAAAGCGAAAACTTCCCTCGCCGGAGTATAGGCGCGCGGGCCAGCGCCAGCCTAGATCATGCACGAGAGAAGGTCGGACAAGGCATGTCGCACCGACGACAAAGCAGTAGCAAATCGGGCAGTAGCCTTCCACCCGGCACCATAGGAGGGACTAGTCCTTCAAGCACAACAGCGCCGCCACTACCGCACCCAGAGGAAAATGATGTAGTAGACGATGAGGCTGAAGAGGGCATCGTCCGGCGATACTTAATGCAGGAAAGCAAGATTAACAGCACACTTAAAATCGGCATCTTGATGATTCAGATTGACGGCGAGCGTAACTATGTCGCGCCTCCTCTCAAGACGGCTCCTATGTTCGGCGGTATAGCTGGCATCGTGGCGGGTAGCGAGCAGGTCCCAGTCGAGGCACCCGAAGACGGGTCTACGCCCCCCAGTACCAAAACCAACCCCGGTTCCCTCGGCAAGTCCCGAGACGCCTCGGAGGTGCAGGACATGTATCGCCGCGCGCTAGCAGCGAGCTGGGCTTGTCAACCTGGCGAGCTACCGGCCGACGAATGTATCGAGGACATCTTCTCGGGCGGCGACGGGTGGAGCGATACCACGCGCCCCGGCTCCAAGCCCCCTACCCGCCGCAGCCGCCTCTCGCATTCTGGATCCGTCGCCAGCAGCACTAGTAATAACAGCGGCAACGTAAGCGACGACGAAGGCGTCGGCGGTAACACGTTACGGCCCGCCGATATCCGCCGCATGCGCCAACACCATCTGCGCACGCGCAGCGGCGGCAGCGATCGCAGCTCTCCGACGCTTATAGGTGGGTCGCGCAGCAGCAGTACTAATGGCCACCAAGAAGGTGGGAGCGGGCGACATATTCGGTACCGGGGATCCGGAAAGCCACTTAAAGAAGACGGCGGCGTAGACGGAGCATCAGATGGCGTACGCAGCCGCAGCGGGAGCTTAACAAGTCTAGCGCCGACACTAGGCAGCGACCGTGGACGCGAGGGGTTCAGACGGCCGAAAGAAGTAGACGAGTACGAGGAGCGCGAGGACCTGGTCGCATGGACGTTACCCGAGACCGTGGTATAAGGTTAAATAAAGCTTATGCGTGTGCTAGGGTACGGCATAGCGTGGCATGGATAGCGTATTATATTCGCGGGACATAGCGTGTGATTGTTTTATATCCAGGTATTGGAACTAAACTAACTAACTAAATCTACTTTACACACATATGTAAAAGTCTTGGGTGAGATGGGATAGACAGACTTGATAATCTAGAAGTGGTAATTGTATATGTGAAGGACGGGTTGGATGGGATTGGGGTCATATATAGGTACATAATACATACATACATATAGTAGGTTGGCATGAACCGACTGTACATAAGTCAAGTAGATAGATTAAATTAATAGATGGAGAACAGACCGCACCTCGAATTAGATGAAATTCCATCGCGAGAATGAAGATTGATATTGGCCTGTAGGAGAAACGAGGTACGCAGACAAAGTCATAGCATGCATAGGTGAACATCATAACTTAGATACCTATCTACCTAGTTAAAATGCGTATATGCATCACGTCTAGCTACTCTATTCCCTATGCTTAGCCTACGCCTATTCTGCCTGAGAGGGTGGAACGAAATCCCGCCTGAGTTAGTTCCATCTATCGAATAGTGCCTACCGAGCGTCGCGATGCCTCCCTCCCTTTTAACTAGACCGACGCCAAATAAGCGAAGAGCACTAAGTAATATTGCCTACCCACCTACCGAGCTAAGATATATGGCGAGCTGTCTTACGGAGCTGCAAGAGTCCCCCTGACGCCACCCTTGCCGCCGACGGCTCTCGTCGTAATGGTTACCGCGAGGTCGGGCGCGACGTTGATCGTGACCTCGACCTTGCCTCCCTTTTTGACATCCCGGACGGCGGCCTCGGCGAGGGTAGTGCCGATCTTCCAGATCTTTTCCCTGTGCTCCTCTTCCTCCTCGTCGGAGTCGAAGTCGCTGTCGTCTTCGTCTTCGTCATCTTCCTTGCTGCCGTTCTCTTTTGGCTTCGGCTCCGGCTTCGTCACCTTGATGTGAGTGCCGCCTTCGGCCACCTTCACCAGCACGTCGCCTCCATCTGCGGGCGCTGCGACGTGGATTGTTCGGCGAGCTGGGGCGGCAGTCTCGGGTGCGATGATGGGTGTGAAAATCTCTTCGCCATCGTCGGATAACGAGATAACACCAATTGCGTTAGTAATGTGCTTGACGGTTGTAACGGCAGGGTGCGTCGACTGCTCAATGTCCTCCGCCTCGTATTCTTGGATCAAAGAAGCCTGAAGAGCAGCACCACGGGCTTGGAGCTCCGAGGGGTTAATGGCGGTTGCGCTCGTTGCGGGGGCTTGGATAGTAGTAGTCTCCGGGAATATGGCGCGGAAGTTGTTTGCGATTCTGGGAGTATGGGATGTGCCACCAGAGAGAATGACCTCGTCAATATCGAGGACGTCTAATCCGGCCTTCTTTATGGCACCGTCAACAAGGCGGTTGAAGCCCTCGAATACCTTGCGAGCAATTGTCTCGTATCTCAGTCTGTTGATAGTAGTCTGGAAGTCAATACCGTCCGCCAAGCTTTCGACACTGAAACTGGCGTTGGTACCAATACTGAGAGCCTTCTTAGTAGCTTCGGATTCAGCCTTAAGCTTTGCTAAGCTCCTGGCGTTTCCTCGAGGGTCGACATTGGGATTCTTCTTCATGAACTCTTTGGCGAAATGATCCATAAGGACATTATCAAGGTGAACCCCAGCAAACTCATAGTCGTGAGCCGTTGCGAGGATTGTATACAGTCCACCTCTCGAAGCTACCACAGCAACATCTGAGCGTGTACCACCAAGATCAGCCACCACAACTATCTTATCTTCCAACTTAGCCTCCGGCCTTGCGTCATAGGCAAGTAACGAAGCAATAGGCTCGTTGATTAATTGAAGGACCTCAAGCTCAGCATCGTTTGCGGCCTGAATCAGGGCTTCCCTCTGGGGCTCTGTGAAGTTTGTAGGCACCGATATTACGGCAGAAGTAACCTTCCTTCCTAAATAGTCCGAAGCTGATTGTAGAAGACGGCGCAGATACCGGGTAGTGACTTCCTTCACAGAAAGGGTAGAAGGCGGTTCTCCCTCAACCTTGTCTTGAATGGTGAAAGAAACTGTCCCGTTCGCTTCCGTGGGGTGAGATGCGGCGTGACAGTGAGTAGGGTCGATAGACTTGAATCTGTTCCGAAGGTAAGTACTTATTCGGCCATATAGTACAACTGGATGGCTAACTCTTGACCAAGGAAGTCCTTGAATGATATAACAGTGTTCTGGGGATTCCGGATTAACAGGGCCTTAGCCTGGTTTCCGGTGTACTCTTCTCCATCGACATATGAGAGGATGGTGGGGATCTGTCGGTCTATATTGTAGGGTTAATTAGCGAGTGTCGCAAATATAGAGGCGTGCTACCCACCTCCATCTTCGTTCGCAATAACGATAGGACTGTCATCAGTTGTGGAAGCAATAGAGCTGTATGAATTGCCGAAGGATATACCAATGGCGCATCGATCACTTGGCGAAACGCCAAGTTGGCCGGTTCCCTTCTCAGTCATGGATGCGATATTCCTATATTCCTATAATCTTAAAAATAGCCAGATTCGTAGGGAATGATTCCAAGTCTGGGCCAGAGAATTCAGGAGGGTTGAATAGTAGTGTTCGTTGGTGGGGTGTGAGATTTTGGATTTCGGCGCCTTGCCAAAATTTTGTTCTTAGAGCCAAAAGAAAAAAAAAAAAAAAAAAAAAGAAGTTCCTCGATTACAGCACATCCCTGTCCACTGTAACCCCCACATCCCAATTCCGCATAGCGGATGAAACCTAGCCACAATAGCCCCTCCAAAACATTTCACCAGCCACAAGTAGAGTTCCAATGAAAGCTGGAACCACTCGAGCCCATACCCGTGGGCATCCATTTGTCGTAGCTCAGCCACTAAATTTTCAAAGTTGCATCTCTTAAAACATCAACATATAACTAAAATGGCAACTACACAGAGTGAGAGGGTATTTGTCCTCCCGGGAGACCAGATAAATCCTTCCTTGGTTCCATCACATCCCAAACGAGCTTTACGGCTCGGTCCCGGACTTCGGCATATCCCTCCGAATGAGTTGATACCTACAGTCGCCGGCCAGCTCATCACTGATCCTAGGAAGAATTCGATATGGATTGAGTATAACGGAGGACGAGTAAGTCATCAGTTTACCTACGTACAAGGCCATGCATTTACAATCCTTATAGTACATACCAGCGGTCGGTGACCTAGTCATCGGTACTGTGCACCATTCAGCAGCTGATTATTTTTACGTCACGCTGTCCAACTATACTTCCAATGCTATACTGCCGCAGCTAGCATTTGAGATGGCCACAAAGAAAACGCGGCCTAACCTGAACCCCGGCGCTCTAGTATACGCGAGGGTCTGTCTTGCAAATCGGCACATGGACCCCGAACTCGAGTGCGTGTCGCCGAGTACGGGAAAGGCAGACGGCTTAGGTCCCTTAAACGGCGGCATGCTGTTCGACATCTCGCTGGGTATGGCCCGGAGGCTTCTAATGCGAAAGTCTGCCGAAGAGGGCAAGGTCGTTGTGTTAGAGGAACTTGGATCCGCGGGTCTTGCTTTCGAGACCGCAGTCGGTAGGAACGGGAAAATATGGGTCAGCAGTGAAAAGACGAAGACTGTGCTGGTGGTTGGACGAGCAGTGAAGGAGACGGATGAGAAAAGCCTCACGGTTGACCAGCAGAAGAAGTTGGTACGAAAGCTAGTTAAGGAGATGAGTTAGGTCGGGTCCAAAACTACTCTGATGTAGGTTAAGGCTGTTTTTCTCCATACTTCAATGATACCCCAGTACTTTTCGGTCAGATTCCGTATATGTTTTGTTATTTGAACCATCATTTTTAAACTTTATGCTATTGTAGTATGAATGGTTATGTCTTCTACACGTTTATTGCTATCAATATATCGTACACACCGGAATTTTTCACGATTTCTACAGTATACGCCGTATTCCAAATGGCTCAGAACGGTTCACGTAAGACGACGAGGAAATATACGAAAACATAAAACATCAATATTTATATATATATAAAAGCGCTATCCAGAGCAGTTTTGAAGCGGAAATAGCTAATCTCGTGCTACAAGACTAGCCCTGAAAACTGTAACTTTTCCATGTTCAGTCCATTGCTGAATATCAGGATTATCTTCCCCTTTGTGTTCCTATCTCGATCTGGTTTCATGTCAAGCAGATAAATTAAGATAGGGGTATATATATAAGTCAACAAGGAAAGATGAACGAGTACGCCTATAACTCACCGTAAGGACGCCATAGAACGCCGAACCGTATACGCCAGCTAAAGCTCAGCAAACCATGACACGTTGGGAACTTACCCTGCCCGCCCCTACCTTTTTGTTAACCAGCGTGCGACAGTCAAATCCATTTCATTTGCCACTTACGTTCAAGCCGCCGCCTCTCGAGGCAGCTAAGACATACCTTGTCATCGGAATCTTCCGGGTTGCAAAAGCAGGATTGTACAGCGCACGAAAAGGCAGGGGAAGGTGTGCTAATAGAAACAAGCATGGTGGAGTGATCGTCGTTGTCCCCGTCTTGGCTTTTCTCTTCCATATAGGCAGTCGACGGTATACCCCGTTCATAGTAGAATGCGGCACTATCGGTTGCGCGTACGCCGGAAACTCGCTTTGGCGGAACTAACGTTGAGGGGTCAGCGACTCGTTCATGTTTCGACCATCGAGAAGGACAACAAGGTGGAAGGGTTCCATGCAAGAAAATTATCGGAATTACTTACTTGAGACCACATCCAGCAATGTGCCTGTTTCGACCGTGAGCGAGTCGGCCGAGGGTTTGGTACGTATGAATGTAGCGGGGGCGGTGCGGATCCGGGGAGCGTGTTCGATATTCAATGCTTCTGCAAAGCTGACACTTTTGATTTTTCTCTCTTCGCCAGCAATACCAGCAGCGGGTGCAGGGGTGTCCTTACGCCAGGTAGGAACTTTAGGTGCTCGCTGGAGCTTGGCAAAAGTAGGCAGACTAGGCAAGCTTTCATTTTCGTGGTCGGGATGACTCTGAAGATCTAACTCTTCAGCCTGTTCAGTAATTCGTCGGACGAGGGAGCAGTCAGATCGCTTTAACGGAAGGTCATGAGACCTTGTCTTTGGACGAATGGGCTTGGGTTGAACCGGTGGCCCGCTAGGCGGCCTACCGCGAGCGCTGAGAGGATAGTCAAAATCGTCACTGACTAGGTCGGAAAGATCGATAGGGGTGTTACTCCCGTATTCCTTGACCGGACATGTAGCCATCTCCGATGTAAATGGGCCATCCTGAGCGGATATAATGTAAGAATACTCGTTTAAAACGGGCAAATGGTTACGATTTACGGGCTTTCGGACGGACTCCCTTCTCAAAGGGACGGCATCTGTGTGGACAGACTGCGCTTTGGGACGCTTACGATGTTGATCTTGATGTCTATTTCGATGGACTAAAGGTGGCGGCGGTCGAAGTCCAACTGGGGAGTTATTCGGAACTCGCGGGACTGACATCGTACTTGGAACCCGTAACGACCGCCTTCCTCTAGTAATTTTAGCTTCTGCGGCAATCTCAGCTTCTTTGGCATGTCCAGCTCCTCTAGCATTTTCGGCTTCCGGAGCATCTTCAGCTAGTTTTCGGAGAGCCGCTTTGGAGGTGGTATATTCGTCGCGATGAACAGTTCTAGGATCGATCGCTTGATTTTGAAGCCCGTTGTTAAACTTATACTCGATAAATTTCTGGCTTACAGGAATAGCGGCTTTCTTGCCAAATTCTCCAGCGAAGAAATCGAGACAATCATGACATACTCCCCGTATTAATACTGTACTGCGCACCGGGTCGCAGCCGGGAAGCACACGACCCACGCAGAAATAACTCCGGATGAGGTTATATCGCCAACATCTATAAAATTCTTGCTCCTTGTGGCGACAAGCGTAGCGGAGCGTGAGGCGCTTACAATCGCACGGCATGATGAATCTCGTTGCTTACCTAGATACGTAGAAGCGTAATAAAAAAAATCCTGTTATTACTACACTGCTAAATATCTAGGAAGAAGTGGTGGTTGAATGTTCTACCTAGGAGATTATTGTTTCTGCCGTGTCTTTTATAGTGAAAACATAGTGGAAACGATGGTAAACGATAACTCGCGAGGATACTTATAGGGGATTCAGAGTAATTCAGAGTTTTTGTCTTGTGGCATTATTATCTACCTACATTGTTTTAAAACAAGAGAAAAAATGAAGGACTTATTCATAAAGAAATTGTTATCTTGAAAATTCCGTAGTAACCTTGTTTAAAAACAAAGGAACTGAATTATCACAACGTAAACTAGTCTATTGTCTTCGACTCAATAGGTGTCTCTTGGCATAGAAAATCAACAAGACGAAGCCCTAAGTAAGGCCCATACCATAGTATAGTTTTTTATTCTGTAGTTAATTAAATTTAAAACTCGTCTTATTCGGAGGTTGTCGTGCTGATAGCCCTCAGGCTTTACTTTTCTTCAAAGGCTAGGATGGTCAAGGTCGAAACTACAATGTGCTACTAACCAAGGTAACATTTATGTCCGCATTGAGAGAGGCAGTGTAAACTGTGAGCCTAACTTCTTACTCATAACAAGATTGCTCCGATTTGTCATAAGTACCTAAAGAATTGCAAAAATCTCTAAGATGGCCGGTTGAGTCATCACCGCGGATCTCTAGTAGAGACTATTATATAAGTCCGGTATGTAGTACATGGCTATATCTTATCTAAAGACTTAACTTAACTAACATTAGTTAACTAACTACCTATATTCAAAGAAGCTAGCTACCCCGCCAAAGCTACCTATCTATCCTAAACAAACTGTCCCTTGTCTCGTCACAACCCACCTTTCGTCATAACGGTTTAGAATAACGTCCCCATTATTTTCTAAGTCCCATCTCTTCCCAAGCCTTAATTTCATCATATTGGTACTCAAGCAAAATAACATTTCGGGTTGGCGTCGCAAGAAATGGATCAGAAAGCAGACGATATTCTGCGACGACCCCTCTATGGTAAATTCCCATCTCGGTCCCCCACCGTCGCAAAAAGCTATAGTACATACACTTTCTAACCATCCCACCAACAGTCTATGACCTACCCGACCAAGTCCTCAACAGCATCTCCTTAAAACAAGACGCCGCCGCCGCCGACGTCCTAGATACGACCAAGGAACCGACCGAATCTGCAACGCAATCACAAACGCAAGATACGACGTCTGGAAACTCGTCACTCGCAGTAGGTTCGCAGTCATGCTCGCTATGCGCCCTCTCGTTCGGCACCGTACAAGACCAGCGCAGCCACCTGAAATCCGACCTGCACCACTACAACCTAAAGCAGAAGCTGCGCGGGCAAAATTCCGTCTCCGAAGCCGAATTCGAGAAGCTGATTGCGGATCTCGACGAGAGTCTTTCGGGCTCCGACTCGTCCGACTCTGAGGACGAAGACGAGGATACCGGAGACAAGGAGAGCAATCTCCTAACAACCCTCTTGAAGAAGCAAGCTACACTTTCGGGAGGAAACTATAATAGCGCTACAGGCGACGGCCAAGGAGACGACCAAGATGGAAATCCGAGAAAGAAACAAAGGGGCGGCGGCGGCGCGCAGCCTCTGCTATGGTTTAGCTCACCTCTCCTACCTCAGAATTCCTATTTCGGCATCTACCGCTCCATATTCGCGCTGGCAGAATCCAAGGACGAAAATACAATCGTCGAGACGATCAAGAAGAAGCAACTAGAACCGATACCCGTGCCCAAAGTAGGACCGGACGGCAACTTCCCACCCTCCGTCTACAAGGGACCGCACATATTCCTTTGTATGATCGGCGGCGGGCACTTCGCAGCCATGGTAGTGTCATTAGCACCGCGACAAGCAAAACATGGATCCGTGGGCCCGTTGAATAGAGAAGCGACAGTGCTCGCGCACAAAACATTCCATAGATACACTACGAGGAGGAAGCAGGGTGGCTCGCAGTCAGCAAACGACAACGCGAAGGGCAATGCTCATTCGGCCGGTTCAAGTATCCGTCGGTACAACGAGCAGGCCCTAACAGACGAAGTCCGATTGCTTCTGCAGGAGTGGAAGGGGCTTCTTGACACGGCAGAGTTACTATTTATTCGGGCGACGGGATCTACGAACCGAAGAACGCTCTTCGGTCCGTACGAAGGTCAAGTCCTACGAGCCAATGATCCGCGCATACGGGGTTTCCCCTTTAGCACGCGAAGGGCAACTCAAAACGAGTTGATGCGATCTTTCATCGAGCTGACGCGGTTAAAAGTCCGCGAAATCGATCCAGCTCAGGTTTCAAAGACGCAGGAGGAAACGTCTACGAAGACGACGTCTAAACCAGCGAAGTCGACCGCGCCTAAGCTAACAGAGGAGGAAGAAACAGCACTATTACACACATCGCAGTTGCAGGCTTTCATACGAAGATCTAAACTGCCCGCTTTACTATCATACCTAAAGAGCAACGACATATCCGCCAATTTCCTCTTTCAGCCAGCAGACTCGCCCCAGAATTACCATGCACCGACTCCCTTACACTTAGCAGCGAACCAGAACTCGGCGCCGCTCGTGCTAGGACTACTAGTAAAAGGAGCCGCGGACCCTACGATCGAGAATGGCGAAGGCAAGACTGCCTTCGAGCTAGCCGGTGATCGATCGACAAGGGACGCCTTCAGGGTAGCGCGCGACGAGCTCGGTGAGATAAAATGGGATTGGGAAGCCGCGCGAGTGCCGCCCGCCATGAAGAAAGAAGAAGCAGAAAAGCGAGACGAGCGCGAGCGCAAAGAAGACGAGAGGAAAGAAGCAGAACGGCGCAGAGCCGAGGAGCAACGGCTCAAGAACGAAGGGCCCAAAGTTCCTGATAGCAATAGCAAGGGACGCGGGAAGAGTCTGCTGGATAGTGGCACGAAGAAATCTGCGCAGGAGAAGCGCGAGGAGGAGGTAAGGGGCCTTACTCCCGAGCAGAGGATGAAGCTCGATCGGGAACGAAGGGCCCGGGCGGCGGAGGAGAGACTGCGGAGGATGCAAGCTGGTGGCGGCGGCTAAACCACATAGGTACCTTACTGCTAGCGTACGGGGGGAGAATAAATAGAAACGGACTTTTAAGATGAGGTCGCATGGTGAGCTGCATCGGATTGATTGGTCCGGCCAGGTCAAGTGAACGCAACCGCCGAGTACCGAAGCGTGCCTCTTCTCCCGTGGCGGCTGTCTGTTTGTGCCTAATGTACCTAATATATTATATGTGCAGTAGCACAGCGTCGAGCTAGGTAGATTCTATTGCTGGTCCGTGGAAATTAGGACAGGACATTTTAGAATAGAACGGGTGGTGGCGAAACGCCCATAAGCGCCGCCAACTCTATCTATGCCGGGCACTCAATGGAACCCGACTTGGAAGCCTCTTTGTAGCAAATGGCGTCACGGTGGTGTACATATCTCTTACGATAGGTACCTCCATGTAAACAGGTACCTGGGTACCTGGGTAATATTTACACGATGGTCTGTTGATGCACACCTAAGGTCAAGGTAGACTCTATCAAAATCAGTAGGTACATTACCGCGCCAGGGTGGCGGGGGGACATGATCTCAGGGATTATATCACCTTATAAGATTATTTTAAAAATTTGAATATTATTACAATATCCCGACATGATCACCAGGATGATATTGCATATCGAATCATGTCGAGTCTCCGTGACGATGTTTAATGAAAATAGCCTCATATTCGAAATAGTCATAGGGATCATGTTGAATTTGTATGATTTCAGCCTTCCAAGGCCATTTCAGCCTTCTAAGATCATTTCAGCCTTCCGAAACGATCTCGGGGACCTGCCTCGAATTGCACCTGCCTCCCCTTATTGCGGCCTTATATACTGCAACAACAAGCCAGCTATTGTTTCCCGTAAAATCGTAGCAACGTAAGACTTAGCTCAATCGTAAAGCACGTAGACTTGTAATCGTAAAACACATAGTCTTATAATCGTAATTGTAATTGTAATCGTACTTGTAAGCCTGTAATTCGAGCCTCACCTGTGATGTTTATTTTCAACTATTCGTAATAATAATATGATGCTATGTCTAAATAAATACATGCGCTTATATGTTTTTTCTTTTCTTTTATTAGGTATACATTTACCTAATAGTATCATATACTTTTACCTTATACATACGTATCCTTATAACGACATCATGTCGAGATTTTGAAATGATCTCCGGGACCATGTCGGAGGTACGTGACTATTCCAAAAAAGTAAGTATCTTATTTCTTAAAACCCTTATATTTTACATACAATTTCGGAACTTCGTGACTTTGTCTTTTTGAATATGATGTATTTTTACATAATCGTCTCCAATTCGAAAGAATCACCAAATCGCATGAGGGTCTCGTTAACAACATTGCTCATTTATAGGATCGTCAAAAGCTGGTCTCCTAATTGAAATCATTTCGAATCGTTAGGACTATCCCTGAGATCATGTCGGCCTCCCACGTTGGCGCGCTAATGTACCTAGTTGCTGGAAGTCAGTTTCGGTCCCGAGTGACGGACTAAAAGATTCCTATACAGTTTCGACGATGTCTAGGTACCTTACTTTATGTAGGTAGCTTATCTGCGAGTAAGATGCGAGTAAGCTCGCTCTTGGATATCTTAGGTAGGTAGATAAAAAGGGGAAGAGCCGTTGGATTATAATGGTGCATCCTGCGAGCCTTGTATTTGACGGTTTTGGCAGGAGATGCGTATTTGCCGTCGTCACCAACTCGACTTGTTCCTTTTAGATAACCCATGGGCGAGTTCTCAAACATATGATGATATGATGATATGATAATTGACAATCGATCCCCGACACGAAATTCTAGATGCGTTTGGCTTTACTGTTATGTCTGCAGTTATCCGTCATACGATAGATATCTCCGGATGAAGTAGGTAGCTTTTTGACTTACCGTTTCTAGGTTGCTTATCCCCGGATACATAGCCACCTCCTCTTAATCTCAACCATTGTACCGAACAGTTCTGGTTAACGACGTCTTCTTCATGCAGTCATCAATCAATATTATGACCCTCGACAATATTGTTGGAGGCGGCCTTAGTATTATATGCCACTCACCACTCGCATTATGAAAACTACATGCTAGCGGCACTCGTAGAACCGCCGCCAAGCATGAAATCCTCCCGACGCACCTGCATCTGTGTTTGCCACGAACATGGCTTCTGAACTAGTATCTGGCTGGAGTTGTAAATCGGAAGCTGGGGCTTGAAATAGTGGAGTGCAAATCGACAATTAATCAAAAGGATCTCGACAGATCGATCTTTGTTGATTTACTTCGCGGGGACCAATTAGGTCTTGTTCCTGCGGGATTTTTGTCGTCAGCGTCTAGCTCCCGCGGATTGACAGTAGGGGTTATAATAGCGATCAGCACACGCCCGAAAGGCCGGAACAAGAAGGCTTGCTTGCAGCGCAGATCGCAGCGTTTCGCAGCTAATAATAGTTGAATAATGCCTGGCAGCACGTTTTGGCCCTCTTTAGAAGCCGACGATTTATTAGCCTAAAGAGCAATTCCTTAGTATACTTAGTATACGAAGCTCTGAATACGCCGACCGCGAGGCGAAATTGCGCGAAATTGTAAAGTCCAAAGCACCACTTGAGTTCGCCTACTCGCTTTTAGCTACTACGGCTGAGATGCTCCGTGCGTGGTTTATTAGAAGGTCGCTTCGAAATAGTCGTTTCCTTGGACCCTTAAGCTTAGGTGTCCTAGGTTCTATCCTTCGATAAACCCCTTAGACCCAAAGCTAAGGATTTAATGTAAGCGTTATATTCTTCTCACCTTAAGAGTCGTATTGTATGCATGTTGTATTGATTGAATGTTTAGTGTATGTAACTCTGCTAATATAGAATATGTAACCGTGCGTTGCGTAGTTGGATTCCGGAAAGCTCCCCTATTTCGCTGTTCCATGAAAAGCCTGATATGGCACTAAAGAAATGTGAGAGTGGAAGTGTTATTCTTTCGGTTTAGGACTTAATCCGTAGCCATATATAGCATTTGTTAGGTAATTGATTTCCGACCACGAGGAAACTATTGATGATTACTTCGTATACCCCAGAGAATGGTTAGACGGTAGATGTGCTGGTAACTCCAACATCCATGGACCATGGGTGCCGATAACGTTAACTTATTCCGAAAGAGGTATGTGTGCCTGTCGATCCCTCTTGGGTTCTAGGGCGTTGCTTAAACTGATCTCATAGATTGAACGCACAGTCCCAGTTGTGATCACATACATCATCATAGCTTTCTCGTTAACGAGATGAAGAAGCCGAAAGTTTAACCACTCTATCGGAACGAACCGTTCTAATAACCATCATCTCGTACGGGAAATTGTGCTTGGACCCATCAAGAAGCATCTTAGCTTCGGGAGGTCGAGTAAATAACAAGTTTCTGGAATTTGACGGCTCTTAAGTAAGCGCGAAGATTTGGCCTTATCATGCTCTATGGATGGCTGTGCAGATAGTAGATAACATGATCTGTAACGACGAGATTTCCGAGAAGGGCTCTCAAGCCGAAGATGGGACGATACCGTAATAGCCAATACTACATATGTACCGTCGCATCAGCCAAGGGTAGGTCTCAGGTAGCGCGTGCGGCTCGTATTTACCCCGTAGTGGATCGCCTTCGTCCAAATAGGGGAAGCTAGATGAAGGTGGATAGAAGCTCGGTTCTCGGTATGTAGGTAGCGACCAGCCAAGGGTTCTCCTTGTCTAGATCATCGAGCTAGCTCGAATCTCGGCGGACATTATCGTAAGGTAGAGATCTAGGAGAAAGGGAGAATAATTCAGCCGGTTGGATTTGGCCCTTTCAACTCTAGCTCGACTACTACTATGTATGTAGCTAATTACGCAGAGAAAAGTAGACAAGAAAGGACAATGGTGAGACTTTGGGCTCAAAGCTGGCGGGTGTTGGAACTTGGAAGTTGTTACTGGCTGGAGAGTGAAACATAAAGCAGGGCTTGACAGTTCCTAACGGAGTGCAGAGAGCTAAACTATAAAAGGGTTAGCGGTATCGGTTCTCGCTTCTTAGGGAGGTGCCAAGATCTTAGATTTAACCCCTTGCTAAACTGCCCTGTCATTACCCTTGCCTTGTCAAATCATAAAGTTAAAGCTTATATAGTTGACATCCATGGGTATGCCGGTATGCCGGCCAGTCGCTCTAGCCACAAAAATTGACCGTAGTTAGGTCTTTATTTTGTACATACTATTTTTCCGATTGGGAAGGCTTTAACTACATGTACCCTTCGGTCCTGTCTTACATAGTATGGACGCTTCTTTGCTTTCCGTATTATCCGACTCCTATTTTGATGGCTTGAAGGGTTACTTTTTTTCTACGATGACGCCCGGTTCATTGAGTAGAAAGGTCTTATACATAGTAGACGTCCATTATAACAATACGAGATCACATTCATGCAGCATTATGACTGCCAAATTTAGTAGTTGAGCAAGACAACGAAGAGAACGAAAACTATACTCGATAGTCAAGGTAGGGCTCAGTGAAACGAATGTAGATCTTATTGCATAACAGCGACTGATGGACTATATATCATGGGCGGGGTTAACATATCACTGGCAGAAAAAGACCGATCGTTGCAGGGACTATAACAGATCTGAGCGTCCGATAGAAACCAATCCTGTAATCGAATCGGTGGTCCCACGTTGTCGCCCTTGGCCTTGGCTACAGTCTGCAGATGCAACTCATTGATATAGTGGTGTACCTGCATTAGGCCCAGCTCCTCAGGTTAGAGGCAAAGTGGCTGTGTCTGTTTCAAGTTGAACAAACCACCATCTATCTCTTCTAGTAAGGGGCTCTTCAAGTTCTGAGCTAGTCTCGCTTTGCTTATGGCAAGTATCTAATATCATGCATCTATGCAATCTAGGAGCCGGCAGTATCTGATCATGTACGAGGGCTATACTGCTTTTTGCCTCGATTTATGTGATAGAGAGCGTCGTCGTTACACGACAGCCATCCTCTTTTCATCATCTTTAGAATCAGCTGCGAAATCCGTGTCAGCCAGTTTATTTCTGGCGGCTTGCTCAAACAAACCTCAACGGCAGTAGCTATCTGTGTATGGTAGCAATCGGGTAGAGAGGAGTAGGCATCTAGATGTGATTTACAAAAGAATATGTGAATACTATGGCAGTTTCTTAGCCAAATTCAGTGTAAACAGGGGCTTCCATTGCCCAAAAAGGACATGTTGGGGTCGACTTGACTGGCCAGGAACAACAGATAGATTGTAGGTAATCCTGGACAACCCCCTGAAAATACCACACCAGAATCTAAGACACCCCGGCTTGCAACCGCGCGCTCTGTGCTCTCAACTCGGTCTAACTGGTGCGGAGTTCCAAGACATTTTCAACTTCACGCGGGTCCCTAGCGTGTGTCCATTCGACATTCCGACCTCCATGAGAGAGCTATGCCATGCCGCTTTGGGCAACCTTCCTCCTAGTTAGAGGCCATCCTGCGGGCCAGGTCTTGCTCGATCCTGGAACAGGGGACGAGAGCCTACAGGCCTCAGAATGGGTGCTCGGAATAGTCCAGCCAATCCTAGATCCCGGTCAAGCAGGGTTGGACCTCTACCCGCACGACTCTGTTAACCTCCTCTCCAAACGAATGGCTCACGGCTACTCATTAAGATCTGGTATATATGGTGGTGAATCTCTTCCTCACCCATCTTCAGAAAGACTCCTTCTCTATCACCACTTTCTTTTCCTTAAGGTGGACATTACTGTCGCTTCTTTCTTATTTGGAAGTCTAGGTCATTCGTTTTCCTACTTCCGCCCTTCATTTTCTTGTTATATACAGTAATTATAAGAAGAACCACATTCTCTACAAGAATTTCTCAACCATCACCTATCCAGGACAGAGTAAAGTCAAAATGAAGTACTCCTTCACGCTTGTTACCCTGGCTGCTGGCATCAGCCAGGTCACGGCCACGGGCTTCTTCGGATTTCACAATGCCCCCCAATTCAGCTGCCCCGATAACACGGACAATGTGTGTATCCCCGACATCGTGAAGGGTATCGACTGGTCCGACCTCTCCTTCGGTGCATTCGACTCGTACAAGGGATTCAAGTGGAGCGGCTTCACTTGCAGCGAGAAGTTTGGCAAGCGGGATGAGTTGACTGCCCGGACTTTCCAGAGCAAGTGTATTACCGGAAAGGCTCAACAGGACAAGGAGAGCAGCCCTAAGATCAGCTGTGACAACAGCAAGGGTGTCAAGAAGACATCCATCAAGAAGTTCCAAGTTTCGCCTGAGTTCGACTGTGACTTGGAGTTCCACTACACCATGCCCGACGGATCTGCTTGCAAGCACCGATCTTCTTGCAAGGCATCCGGTACCGTCGTCGAGAACACCCAGTGCGGTGGTGCTACCGACGTTACTGTCGTCTACCCTAAGCAGCCCTCTAAGCCCAAGGACTCTTGCGACTTTGGCATTCACCACATCGACTTCGACTGCGAGGCCCCTAAGCCCTCTAAGCCGTCGAAGCCCGACACTCCCTCCAGCAGCTCTGTTGTCGTGAGCAGTAGCTCTTCGTTCCCTGCCACCAGCCTTTCCAGCAGCTCTGTTGCTGTGTCCAGCAGTGCTTCGTACCCCGCCAGCAGCGCGTCTGAGTCGTCGTCTGTCGTCGTCGTCTCTTCCAGCTCTGCCAGTGCCCCCGAGTCGACCAGCTCGGCGTCCGCTACCACTAGCGTTCCCATTGGCGTTTCGTCCACCGTCAGCGTCCCCATTGAAAGCGCCAGCGCTTCTTCGGCACCTACCCTCCCTTACCCCGTTGTCAACAGCACCACCTCTGCTACCGAGGCTGCCAGCTCTACCGCTGATGTCTCTTCTTTCTCTGTTACCAGCTACTTGACTACTTCTACTGTTTTCACTACCTCGGTCCAGACCATCACTAGCTGTGGTCCTTCCGTTCCCAACTGCCCTGCTGGCTCGAACACGGTTGTCACCGTCACCGTCCCCCTTTCTACCACCATCTGCCCTGTTACTGAGACTATTGGTGTCTCTACCCCGGCTGTTTCTACTCCGGCTGTTTCTACTCCGGCTGTTTCTACCCCGGCTGTCTCTGCCCCCGCTACTAAACCCACTGAGTCTGCCGCCAAGCCCACCGAGTCTTCCGTCGAGTCGACTCCTACTGGTCCCTCTGGTACTTCCCCTGCTTCCAGCAGCAGCAGCACCCCTGCCGGCCCCGTCGAGACTCTCCCTTGCCCTAACGTTGTTCCCTCTTGCCTGAACACCTGGATGTTTAGCGTTGGCTGCAAGGACAACACTGACTCTGCCTGCTACTGCCCTGACGCCAACTTCGTCAAGAACATCTTCACCTGCTTGTACGCCTACGGTGAGTCTGACGAGATCATCTCTGAGGCCATCAGCTACTTCCAGGGTATCTGCGCTCCTTTCGTGCCCAGCAACCCCGGCATTGCCACTGGCGCTGAGACCATCACCACCATCCTCACTGCTACCCCCACTGCCCCCCCTGCTGCTGTCACCACCATCGAGGTTGCCACCACCGTTGTTGTTCCTTGCACCAACGAGGCTGGTGAGACTATCCCCAGCTCCAGCAGCACTGTGACCATCAACACCAGCCTGACCGTCCCCGGTATCGTCTTCAGCACCGCTACCAACGGCCCCAGCTCCACCGGTGTCGTTATTGTTCCTGGCACCTACGTCGCTACCGTCCCGGTTGCTACTCCTACCGCCCAGACTCCGGTCTCAACCCCGGCCCCGACCGGTGCCGCCCCTTACCCTATTATTGGTGGCTCCTCGACTCTGGTCACCGCTGCCCCCTCCGGCACCGGTGTCGTCTACCCGACCTCGGCCCCGAGCAGCAGCTCGGTGATCGTCACCGCCGGCGCTGCCCACGTCGGTGCTGGCATGGGCCTTCTCGGCTTTGCCGGTATGGTCGTCGCCGCCGCCCTATAAGGCGCGCAAGCAACACAACAACACTAGCAGTAGCCTCATCGCAGGCGAGTTTCTTTCTCTGTACAGTACAAACATGACCACTGCCGTCACATAAGATTCTTACGATCCTTACGAACGAACTTGCATATCTTTGGGAACCTGGCAAAAAGAAAGATGGGTTTTCTTTTTAATTTAAACCGGCACACTGCGGTGGGTCGGTGGAGTGGCTTCTCCCGTGTCTCGATGACGGCGAGTTGGGAGAGGCGGTGGAGCGGCTTGGGTGGTGGAGTGTGTATAAAAAGCATGGATGGACTTGTAGTAATAGTAATACCCCGATAAATTATAGCTGAGCTTGAACTTTGCTGTATATTTTCTTCGAAGATGTTTTGGTGATTGTGTTTGTTCATAAGGTGATCTGTATACTGCGTGTCTTAAATAGCCCCTAATTCTAATTGCTGTAGGCCTATTTTATTCCAAGGATGGGGTGGATGGGAGGACAATGACTCAAGTTTTGAAAGACGTTCTAAAAGCTGTGTTAATCTACATCTAAGTATCCTCGAGTATGCGTTTGCGTTCCTTTGATGGTCTTCTAGTAGTTGTTGGGCAATGAAATCAGAGTGTAGTTTTATGGCTTAAGGGGACATTCGCAACAACATATTACCATGCTATTTCCACTTACATTTAATAGTAAACTTTGAGTGAGTAAAGCCATATTTTATGCCGTGGAAACTTTGCCTTGGAAGGTTCCTCCAGAGGAAATGACGCTATTCACAGCTTTAATAACATATCGCTGCCCACTCCCGTCAATATTATATGTGGCGTACCTACCCGCAGGTAATTAATATTAGAGCACTGACGACAAACGGATTCTGGTAAGTGACACAAGTACCTAAGGTAATTCGTAATTCAACGCATCTTGAACCCAACCTTATCATCCACACGTATTGGTCCTTCCCTCATTGTCCGAGGTACCTTCAACGTAACTCGCACCTACCTAAGGTCCTGATGCAAATTACCTAACATTTAACTATGGCAACGCCACTAGGTTTAATTCTTGCGGCAACTACGCCTATATGAACATCGTCCCTTCCCACTTCCTCCATTTTGTACTTTAGGTACCTGCCTATCTTTTCCACTCCACAGCTTACTGCTGAAGAGGTTTCTGTTGAAGACAATTTTTGCACGTACCTAGAATTTCCAGTGCAACAATTCCTCGACTCTACCTTTTCCTCTCAAAAACCATTCATTCACCAGCACGTCGCCGGCCCAGATCTCTTCATCGCAACGCGTCTATATACCGCGTCTTATACCTATACTATCGGTATACAGTCTCACTATTTGGACATATCGTATTAACGACGCCTATTCCTATTGCCGATCTCTAGTCCGTCATCGACATCCGTTCAGCCACCTATTAAATACCTTTTTAGCTCGACAACCATGGATTCTTGCAGAACGGCCATTGTTAACCTTAGCGACAAGCAGCACCCTAACTATGGTCTCACCAAGCGGAACAACTCATCCAAGTTCTTCTCGATGCTCCCTAGAGAAGTATGTCTGATTTCTTTGTTTTAATATATAACCATTGCTGATTAACAATTATTCACATCTTTCAAAGGTCCGACTCATGATTTATGAATATGCGGTATATGTCAATCCAGAGATTAGACCAAGGCAACTTTATCCCCACTCAAACAAATTCATCCCCTATATACACTCGCCCAGTACGCCAAATCGCCTATACCGAAAACGGCTGGTTGTTGTTTCGCTTGCTCGCGTATGCCGAGCCATCTATGCTGAGCTTGAACACTTTCAGCCGTTCTACAAAGTCAACAAATTCTATTTTGAGGACTTGATCGAGCTTCGTACCTACCTTGCAGCTATCATACCATCTCGCCGCCAAGCAATCCGTTGGATTGATTTCCATCTAAATGATTGGTTTGACCACTGGCTTCTAACCAAGCGAATATTTTGGTACGACCCTGCATACCCAGTAGACCATGGCACGTTGGTAATTCTTAGTCAAACCAACCTCCAAGAGTTTACCCTCATTGAAACAATATCCGACCTAGCCCCAGGCAGGGTCGCCGCCGATGTGTTGCGTGAGAATCTCAATCGGGTCTTGGAATATCCCGACGGATTGCACACCATGCGAAATCTGCCTTGCTTCCGACTAGGGTTCATCCTTGAGTCTCCGGACGAGACCACTGATAAGCTGACAAAGGAAATCGACGAAGCATGTAAGTTAGCATCCAGTTTCAACCCTTGTCCATCACCTAGTTTTCTTAGGGGAGTAGAGCAATGCTTTTCAGAATGCATTATCTTACTAGACTCACTCTATCATATAAGCCATTGCTAAACTACTTTGTTTTATAGTGGAGACCCGTAGGAAACGCATTGGTACGGATAGACCTGAATGGTTTAAGCAGTTGAATAACTTTAGGTCGACCGAAAATGCTATGCGTGAAGTCCGTGGTCTTGACATCCTGGGCGAAGACCGAGTAGCTCTGGATAGAGCAGGTAGTTACCATGGGGCTGTCTCTTCTCGGACAAGAGGCAAATGCCGACTCCCCAATTCGGTCGGCCAAATGATTGAGAACATACCAAGATACAGCGCAGATGGTTTTCTGACTTCTTCTATCTACAAAGTACATGATATTCGTTGGGGTGGAACGGATGTGCGGTGCCAAGTGTCGCATAAGTACGGGAATAATGTCTGGGAGGATGCCTCTGCTATCCTCGTCCCCCACAACATCTACGACTTTATACAATTCTATGAAGGAATAATGAAAGCAGCCGACCCGAGTCGCTTGGATGAGATTAAAAGTAAGCCGACCTTGCGCGATATTATCAAAATTGAAGGGGGCTTCCATTTTCTCCAGCATACCGGGGCTGAGGACCAAGCAAAGGGCCGAGCAAAGAATCAAGGAAAGCGACGACGGCGGTCAAGACTATCTATAATGAAAGAAGATTGGTTGCAGTGTGCAAATCTGTGGGAAACCTATATAGCCAACTTGGAAAAGATGAGAACTTAGGGGAGCAAAAGGAGGAGGCGACCCGGAAAAGCTAAGCAAGAACCTGAAGAGGACTCTGAGCTATAGTAAGAAAGTACTTAGGAGACCTACATACAGCAAGTGGCGACCCGACCACGGAAAGTAAATGCAATGCAATTTTCGGAGGCTTTATGATGCATGATATGATAGACTCAAGAAAGGGGATATAGCAACAAAAGGGGCAGAGTTCTTTTTTCCTATCACAATTGCTTGTATTATAGTTGCAAACCGCCCCTCAGGTGAACATTGCAGGAGGTATAGAATGATGGATCGATTTTCTTCGTAGAATGAGGTACACGGCCCGAGTATGTTAAACCCGGAACATTTCATCCACCCACTCACCTACCCCTCATACATTTCATCGCCACTGCCACGACGTGTATGATTAAGTCTTAAGATCGAACGATTATCTTGTAAGGAGATAGACAATCATTATCACCTACGGTAAATCACTTAATGGCAAAGTATAGAAGTAGTTTCAACACCAAAAAAAATAGCAGCTGTAATTTATATATATATGCAAGCGCCTAAAAGCTTAAATTTGAGGGATCAATCAATGCATAACTGACGTTGGAAAACACGAAAGATATCCTTCATAGTCAACTCCGCCGCTACGGGAGCAGTAGGGTCGCTAGGGAATCCAGCTATTAGGTTGTCCGGTTCAAAATGCATTTCAATGATGGTATCAACTCAATAAATCCTCTCTCCATGTTGAATCATGTATTGGCTATATCTTTCTCAGCTCTTCACTGCGAGTGCAGGGCGAAGAGAGGGAACATCCTTTCCGAAGTGAAAGACAGCATGAACGCCGAATAGATGCAAATAAGAATGTAGAACTGCGTGACAAATTTTGAGAGTGCGAGCACGGGGCCGCGATCAGATTAAACCCCATGAACCCAGCACATGGGGGCCATTCCTCTCTAGCCGCCTGATCCCAGCCCGCCGAATTGACTAAGCAAATATGTCATCAGCTCGTTGGTATACTGTAATGAGAATGTGAGAAGGCCAGAAGAACATTGGTTTGGAATGGTATCAGTAATTCTTTTTTCATGTCGTGACAGTCGTGAAGTAGAGCAAATCCAATATTCAGTACGCCCAAAGGGAAAAATCATGATTGACTGATTACGCGTAATTTTCCTCGTCGTCCTCTTCAATGGGGGCAGGAGTCCTCCTTTCGTTTCGGCGCTTAGGACGCCTGTGCCTCGAGCTGGAGATGTTACTCGCCGAATCCTCAGGAGCTAAGTCGAAATCATCGCCTCCCCAATCGCTCTCGCTCATACCGTCATCGTCGGCCCATGGTGGTCTCTCAGAGCCTTGTGAATTGCCAGATAATTGTGGAAAGACATCGATCCTTCCGGCACGGCGGTGCTGCTGGCTTAGCAACAGGCCATTATTGCGCTGGCGGAGAGCGTTCCGCACCACTTCGGCACGTTCGTGAAGCTTCTCAAATGCGTCTTCGAGGGCTTCCATACCCTGGTAGATATCCCTTTCTACCTCAGCTAGGACAGCCATTTCAACCTCTTCATCATAGGATACAGGCTGGCGGCTATGGCCAGGCGCAGCAGACGACGACAGCGAAACAAAAGAAGCGGGCGTTGCGCCCCGGGAATACACCCCGGAGAAGGGCGTAGTGCTACGAGACCCGCCGAATCCCGACGCATGGCGCATACTGGACCCTCGTGGTGGGGGGGATGAAAACCCATTCGCGGGTGTACCACCTCGAGACTGTGGATTGTCGGCAGTAGGCGTTATCGCGTCATCAGCATCAGCACCAGACCAGAGAAAGCCGTCAAAGCGGCCCGATATGAGAATTTCCCACTCTTGGGGGCTAATGTCGGTGATAGTTGCAAGAAGATCATGGTGGAAAGGGTGCTTGACGAGAAACACGGCTGTTTCTGCATCGCGAGGTGCTTGAGGTAGACGGTAGATGCGTTGCAGTGCCAGACCTGTCTTGACCATGAAATCTGTCCTTGGCTTACGCATTGGTGTAGGTGCTCTCAGAGAAGGCTGCAATTCTCGGGCACCGGAAATTAACGCATTAAAATACGGTTGCTCATGCTGGTCAAGATTGGTCAAGATGGCAAAGGTGAGCGTCTCGTCGTCGATCTCAGAGGGCGCTGGTGCGGGCGCCTCAGCACAGTTGCTCATCCATCGGTCGACTACAGACCTGACCTTCTTGGACTGTCGTAGATAGTGATCCCTAAACTCTTCTGCGATATCCGGGTCTAATTTGATCGGGGAAGCCGGCCTAGGAGGCATGTCTTGTGCAGTCTCAATCGCATTTGCAGAAAGAGAGGGAAGATCAAATGGGGGCCACGCTGGCATTTCAACCCTACCTCCTACCCGTTCTAGTACCTCGCCCCATCCTAACCCTCGGTGCTCTTCTGGCGCCTTTTCACACATGATACAACTGCAGCCCTCAGCAGGAAGATCTCTGGAGAATACATCTTCCAATCGGTCGAGTAGCCGCCGTGCGACGGACTTGTGCCCTGTTGCTACTGCAACCGAGCCCTGCTTTTGGATGACCGATTGATATTGATCAAGGAGATTAAAGAAAGGTGCGAATAGAGTGTCTGCGCCTGCTAAAGGAGGGTTTGAGGGTCGTGATCCATTCTGACGTGGTATCACGGAAAGGAAATTCCTTGGTAGCGGATGAGGTAGACCGCCGTTTTGAAGTAGGTAGTCAATCCTGGGAACTTCCTGAATATTCAATGGGGGAGGGGGTGGAGGTGGCGGAGGACCGAAATCAGATGCTGGGGTTGCTGAAGGCGTAGGACGTTCTTGTCTTTCACGCCTAGAGTTAAAGCTAGACTTCACATCCGGGAAAGCTTGCGGCGGTGGAAATTGTGGCGTAGCTGTAGGTGTTCTCGGTGATGAGTCCTGTATGGAGTCTGGGGAATCTTCGGCTTCGACTGGGCTATGATTCCTACGGGACCTTGTCGAGGCTGTCCGTTTGGGAGCAACAGGAGTAGCGGTTGAGGAAGTCCCTACGGTTTTATTATCGCTCAGTTGGGATGCCTCACCATTGACTCGTACGCCGAATGGCGGAGGCGGTGGAGGTGGGGGAGGAGGTGGCGGTGGGTAGGACGGAGTTGGAGGAGATTTGATAGTGGAAGCGTAGCTCGAAGCTTTAGATTTAGTAGACAGCTTCGATTTCTCATCGTGCTTCGAGCTAGATCGTGACAAGCCGGAGGTCCTTGATTGAGGTCGGTCCGAACCAGATTCCATCTCCTCTCTCAACTTAGAGGCGGGTGTTTTGCTTCGTCTTTTCTTTTCTTCGGATAAATCCGTCTCGGGAGGGCTAGGCGGTCGACTATCTTTCTGGGTGTTCTTCCTACTCAAACCACCAGTCGATTTAGATCTGCCTATGTTACCGGAACCAAGATCTGTGGTATCTGGGGTGAAGGGATCATTGTGGGCAGAGGCCCCTACGTCTTCGCGGCTGAGTACAGCTTCCTTGCTATGAGCTTTGCTGAAGGTAGGATATGGCAAGCTAACCCGGCTGCCAGAAAGGCTTGTCCTCGAAAGTTCGGGTACTAGGTCACTCATTGAAGATGTTCTTCTGTCACGGTCCCTCTCTTTCTCTTCCTTGGTTCGGTGTCGTCGATGCGAGGAGGTGTGCGAATCCCCATCCGTGCTAGTTTTATGCTTGGAACGGTGTGATTTATGGTGGTGATAGTGACTATCCCTGTCACTCTTAACGCGTTCCTTATCCTTTTCCCTATCACGTTCCCGTTCACTCTTTCTACGCCGAGGATCTCTTGAGCGGGTATCGCTGGTTGCGTCGGCATCAGGGTCTCTGGAGCCCATGGTGGCGGACCATACGAGCCCGACCGGGCCCAACCGCTAATTCGATTTGACGAGGGAGGGTCGTCGAACTGATTCGAAGGATGCAGAGGGTCCTCGATTGGAGAGGGTTCAAGGCGAGGACGAATGAATTCAATGCTTGCTTCAGTAGTCTTAATTAGGAATCTAGGGATTTATGCAATGCGTTCGTTGGCAGTTGGCAGGAAATGGAAAAAAAAAAAACCATTACATGTAGAGGACAAGAAAAAGTGGTGAAAGCAGCACAAGGCACATTGCATGTTCCAATCTTCCAATGTTCCTGTGTTCCAACGTCCCCAAAAAAGATGTGCAAGGGAAGGTGACGGCGGCTATTGGAGTCTTTCCACACGCTACGCAGCTGCCTGTGATTCGACGAGCAGCATGCATATATCGGAAATGGGGCTCTACCACGTACAAATCGGGCATGGACGTACCCGTACCTATCGCTTAAGGTGGGGTCGCTATATCCCACAGACCTCGACTTTTAAATAGTCTGTATTGTTTAATGCATATCTATATATAGAGAGATCTGGCATAACCATGCTGCCATGAACAGCCTAATCGGAGATCATCATAGCAAAATCTATCTATTTATTTATTTCATTCCTTTATGTAGTAGTACCTAATCAAAGATTTCCTCTAAACTCGAGTTAAGTTACCCCGAGTCCCGTTTACACCCTCATTGGTAGTAGACGGTTCTATATATATGTATATCTGTGTGTGTGTGTTTTATATCCCATAAATACCTAATTTATCATGTATGACCTGGTACGTTAATCGTAAGTCTATCCGGGTCTTCCTTTATTCGTTCATAAATATCCTTTTTTTTATCATATCCTGAAATCTCATAATAGCCGAAAGAAATTCATATAAACTCATCTCGTTTATAAGCGGTCTAGTAAACCACGGCTCTCCAGCATCAGGACGATCTGGTGCACGATGGATCGCACTGTCTGCTTCTCGCCGTCTACTACTAAATCGGCCTTAGTAGGAGCCTCATATGGGTCGTCAACACCCGTGAAACCCTTGATCTCACCAGCGCGAGCCTTGGCGTAGATGCCTCGCTTGTCCGTCTTCTCACAGTACTCCAAGGGAGTAGCGACGTGGACAAGGTAAAAGTCACCGTATTTTTCAATGGCTTCCTTAGCAGCAGCTCGGTCCTTATCAAAGGGCGCAATAGGGGCAGCGATGACAGCAGCACCGGACCTGGTCAACTCGCCAGCGACGAACGCGATACGAGCAATGTTGGTGCTGCGGTCTTCTCTGCTGAAACCCAGTTCAGACGACAGCTCATGGCGCACAGTCTCACCAAGCAGCATAGATACCGATCGGCCGCCTTGCTGGTTTAGGGTAACCTGAAGAGCTCTCGCGATCTGGTCCTTGCCGCTGTTTGTGTAGCCGGTTAAAAATACAGTGAACC